TGGGTGATGCAGTATGAAGTTATACATGTGAACGAAAAAATGAGATGAACTTAATTGTTTCTAACTGACTAGTAATGCGGCGTCGAATATCTGATATGCATGTAAGCAATAAAGTATGGATCGTCAATTAAGCAAAATATGGCTGAACTTTGGTTCAGATTGTCGTTGAAAAAGTAGGAAACGACGATTGCTGAGTACCAATGAGGTGAATAAACGTTAGTTGCGTATCGAGAACATAAGTTTTTACCACTGGATGTATGACTCTAAACTCGTGTCCTTGCTAGCATTGGTATAGCTGCAAACATGTCGTTATCAGCTTGCAGAAGCTGACGATTCGCTTGCATGTGCATGTCGCTAAACCGCCGATTTACTAAGCAGGTTTCAGGTTGTTCGATGTAGGGGCAGCAAGTAAATTTGTTATAAATATACGATATGTGATAGCCGTATATGCACAGAAATAAACGATGGTTATTAAGCTATTGGTGTGATAAATGATCCAGAACAAAATAAAGATAATCAATTTTAGAAAAAAGCTTAATAGAACTACAGGCATCCACAGACGTAATTGAAAGTGATATAGAACTGAAAAATTTGTGGTAAGGAAATATAAAAGTGACCACATATTTGTAAGTGAGTGTATTATCAGGCCAAACATGACACGAAAAAATTGGAACGAATCCAGTGAGTTTCGAACGTCATAACGTGAATAGAATGTTCACAAAATCTTAATTTGTTTACTGAGTAATATGACTGCGTAAATATTATAATTTAATGTCAGCATGAACAAAAGTGATAGTCCCATGTTGGGCGATACAACAATAACATAATCACAAAAATGATAAATATCACAATCATAATGGGATGATCCGCCGAATAGACCAATGAGATTTGACACGAAGACAAAGTACCGATAAGATAATACGATTTCATTGGTAATTCTACTTGCAATAACTTACGACCTCGTGGGTCTCATTTGCAACACATGTATGGTTTACCGAAAATACATAAACAAGATAATCCTCTTAGACCTATTCTGTCAATGGGCAATTCACCATACCACAAAGTTGCACGACGGCTGGCAGATAAATTAGAACCAGTCCGCCAACGATTAGCTACCTATACACTTAAGGGTTAATTTGTATTTTCTGACATCATGGATCACATAAATATTGCTGGTAAGTTTATGGTTTCTTCTGATGTGACGTCATTGTTTACAAAAATACCACTTCTTGAAACCATAGACATAATTTGTCAGCATCCGGACATCCTACCTCTACCAGCAACAGAATTCAAAGGACTATTACTCATGTGTACAAAAGATGTTCAGTTCCAATTCAACAATACTATATACGACAAACCGATGGTGTAGCAATGGGAAGTCCCTTAGGCCCTGTCCTAGCAGACATTTTCATGGCTAACCTCGAAAGAACCAAGCTCAAAGTAGCGATTGATGAAATGATGTATTATTCGAGGTATGTTGATGATACCTTCATCGTATGTAATAATCAACAACATGCAACAAATCTGCTAAAGTTTTTCAATGAAGCTCATCCAAATATTCATTTCAATATGGAATATGAAAAAGAAAACAAGTTTCATTTTCTCGATATCGCGATGAAACAAAAAAGGATGGTACAGTTCAACGCTCAGATTATAAGAAAGACACATGGAATGGGATTTATCTCAATTTCAACAGCTTTTGTCCAATCAATTATAAAAACATTGTTTCACAGAACAGAAAGAATGTGTACTGCTGATACAATAGAAGAGGAAGTTATGAATGTTAAAAAGTTTTTAAGGAATAACGGATACCCGTTGAAATTTATTGAGGAATATGGAAAACGTGAAGATAAAATACCCAAAGAAACTACAGTAAATAAAAAACCTGTTTTTATTCAACTCAAATTCAAAGGTGACAATGTCACAGGGTCAATCGATATGAGACTAAAAACTGCATTGACAAAAAACTTATCCTGCAGCTAAATTAATTGCCCTGTCCTAAACAACATGTTGTTTGACACAATCAAAGATCGACAGGTTTCCCTTTCATGTTACCACCAACTGTGTATACAAATTTACATGTATCCGCCAAATCAGTTACATTGGTAGAACAGGAAGGAGAGCGTACGTCCGATTCAAAGAACATATTCCGAAGAGTTTGAGATCAAACGAACTAAAAGCATTCAGCAGCGCTATCGCAAGACATCTCCTTGACACAGGACACGAAGTAGAAATACTGAAGTCCTTCAAGGTGATCAACAAACAATCAAATTCAAACCTTTTGAGATTTGCCGAAGCGATAGCAATCAAACGTTTAAAACCATATCTTTGTATACAAAAAGAAACAGTAATAAATCTTTCTTTGCCCTGGTAACATTACTCCCCTCCTTTTTATATATTACGTCATTCCAACTCTTTCTGAATTTTACAAATACATCATTCATAACTGACCAATTTCAATTCACGTCTCATTTTATTACCATTATTCTATTTTCAGTTACTTCATTACATAATAATCTAATGTGTTTAAATTCCATGAGTTCTACTCACTATTTCAATGTTCTGGAACATTCCCTCCCAAATTTCATATATTCCAAACACAAATTCTATGACTTCATTAACTCTATCAGAATCTTTGCTACATCATGTTACATATATTCATCCTTCATTACCCTCTGATGTATAAGTATGTCAATAACTGTAATAACGTTGAATTTCAAATATTTTAGGTTGTAAGCAGCTGATGAGAACCTAACGAAATAAAATGAATTCATATTATTCTGCACCAATCTTTGTTCTTGCTCTCTTTAAAATACGATTTGAATATGCCCATATACCTACCGTACCGTCTTCGATGAATACTTCGGACCAGAGATTGAGTCATTTGAGTTGCTCGTCGATTTAGTCAGCCACTTAGTTTGTTTATCGGACGCGTAGAGTTCGAGATGTTCACCATCTGCGCAGATTTACAGAGTGTGTTTAGCTCGAATTCAGACTTACCACATTAGTGATGTTGTGATCTCTCTGATTCGGTCACATGATCAAAAACTGCGTTGTTTATCGATTGACCTGGCTTTGCTGAGTTTGTTCGTCAAAAGTATGAGTGCAGAAGGTCATTCGTTGATATTTAGAGTCAGATAAAAATAAGTTACAAACATGTGATGAATTGGATAAGAGGTGCACACACACATGCTCATATAAAAACAGTCAAGAGTTTAAAGTGAATAATTAACAAGATCAAAATGTGACTCAGGAAAAACGAATAAATTGACTTGTCCGGAAGCTAGGATATATATATATATATATATATATATATATATATATATATATCGGTTGTGTAATACATGTACTTTTCTAATGCCTTTGTAGAAGAGTATCTTGGATTGTTAAAATATTTTTACGAAGTAAACTGTCACGACTTTCTATGTTCGGACGTTTGCTACCGAACTCCTCTTCTTTGTTAACTTGTGCGTTCATTCACTGGAATTAATTTTTTTGTACGCTTGATCCTCTAACAGTTTCAACAACAACCTGCTTACAGTAATCACAAAATATTTTGTTCAATGTTTAGTCAACTTGTTTATCCTTAGATTCATCTTATTTTAAAATAGTAATACATGTCTTTTGATCATTTATGTATGACTATAAATTTCGTAATTATAGACGACTGTCTAAAGCGTTATATTAGTAAAGTAGGCAAAGGTAGACAGTGGCTATCAGTGGAGTCAAGGGTGCACGTCACAATCCACTTGAAACTTGTCAAATGGATGTGCCAGCATGTCAGATTTGACGTTCACTAATGGACATGAACCCAGTTCCGTTCGCCTCAAACACCATCGCCTTATGCACTTTGCTATCGAATAACTGTAGTCCTAAATACATTGGGGAATTCAAACAACCAATACTAAAACGAATAAAAACTTCATCCCATTGCACAGGCTAGTGGCTATCTGGACTCAGTAGCTCAGTGGTTAACTCACTGGCATTTGAAGCGAACGGGACTGTGTTCAAGTTCAGGAGTGAACATCAACTCTGAGGTTCAGGTACATCCATCTCGCGAGTCCTGTATTTCACTGCTAACCATCATCTATCTGTGCTTATTATACCTGTAACTGAAAGCAATATCGAGGCAATCTGCACGAAATGCACGTATGTTGAGTGAGACTGACCAGTTTCAGTCCTGAGCTTCAATGTGAGGATTCAAAAAACAATGCGACAATGTATTGTGTTGGTAATGGTAGAACATAAATTGAGCGCATCTCTTTGGTACAACATTTTTTCTTTTTAAAATATTGATTTCTACTAAGTTATTATGGTGTCGTAGAGATAGAGTTTGTCAAATGTCATAATAAATCTGTCAGTGAGATTAGTCTAGTGTTGTACATCATGGTCTGGTCAATTCTGAGAAGTAACCAAATCAAGCGATATATCTGCTGGATTTCAGTGGTCAAATAAAACTTCCAAATCTCAATAGAACAAATGATAGTCCATCAACGTTTAGTAATTGTTTAATTGATCACGTCTTTTGTTTTAACAACAAGACTGCTTTGAGATAATAATTTAAGTATCCAAAAATTTGTTCAACCTACGCAATATTGATTGTGATCATAAAATGTAGTGAATCTGAGAGTAATTGAAATGTGGTTTTGTTTTTCTCAAAGAAAAATTGAATTTGCAAAAAGATAACATTGTTGTTTATGATTGAATACTTACTAAAAGAGGTTACAAATTCATTAAAACTGTTTGTTTAATTATCTATGTCAGCCGTAAAATCTATATAAGTCGCTATGTGAACAGATTAATACCAAAACGTTAATAGAAAGAATTTGCTTCTGTTCTGATTATTTTTAAGAAAATGTCATTACTGCTTATCATTATGTATTTGTTTCTCTTGAAGGAGAGAATTGTGGAATGTTTGGCAGTACAAAACTATACCGTAATTTTGTATTCGATTCAATAATAGTTATTGCAATACTTTAAAGAATATACTTAAACCTAATATGCGCCGAAGAAGTGAATTCATGGTTGGTGAAAAATTCCGTGTTCGAGTGGTTCTGAGTGAAGATTTAAAAAATCATTCACAGTATGATTTATTCAAGGTTAGTCAACCATGAGAATGTTATTTGCGAATACCTACACGTTTTGTATATATACGATAGCCTAGACGTTAATTTATCATTTACAGCTCCATGTTACTTATTCAGTATAAATTTTATCTACGTAATGCAGCAATCATGAGATGTGCGATTAAATTTGTGAATGCATTTTGGTCTAATATTTAACACATAGTTTCACTGTTTGTACTTTTCCAAATGTGTACTTATATTCAAGAAGATTAGACTGGCTAAAAGTTTGGTTATTCTAACTGACTTTAAGATTTCTGGTGTATGCTCTAAAATACGAAATATGTATTGTTACATGGTGATAAAATACATACAAACTAACTACTACGTTGTTGTTCTCACAGATGGAAGATACTATTAAAGAAGGTAAAGTTGATGGAACACGTGATAGATAAATTATTTTACCTAAACACTTATATCAGAAACGATAAAAATGTTATGCCGGAAATACAAGAAAACTGCCTAATCAAAGGTAGTATTATTTTTTCGGACAACATTGTATTCCTAAAATTACAGCAGTAGGTTGCTACTATGTAAATATATTTTTTAAGTCAGTCAGTCAGTCAGCTACAACGTAAAACCAGGCACATATATGTGTCGTTGCAAATTGTCACACCTCACAAGCACAAGGTGAACACCAAGTTCATGGGAGCAGTATTTTAAGTTCATAATTGCACCTCCTGGTAGGAGATCAATTCCTGAAAATTCAGTCAACAAGAACATTATTTCCATCATTAGTTTTATTATAAAATTGAACAAAATTAGAGATACTGGACAGCCTTGTCCGACGCAACTAGATGTTGCAAGAAAAAAATATCATTGTCGAACGCCAATAAGCCTGACTGAGTTCTTGAATCTGATGACTAGTGAATATGTGGTCGATGCAACCACGACCAGGTCTGAAGCCAGCTTGATTTTCTCGTGTTTGCAGTTCACGAATCTTTGTTAGGCATCCGATAATTATTGAGCTTAGTACTTTAGATGCTATATTTGTCAAACTTGTCCCTCTACGACTATCAATGGATGATTTTGACCCCTTCTTATATATTGGGACAATAAGTGATTGTGACCAGTCAGACGGGATTACGTCCAACCCCCAGATTTTGGCTAAAATGTTAGTTAACCTAACCGCTAAAACTAGACCACCATCCTTTAAGACATCTGAATCAGCTGTTCTTCCTCATTTCAGATTAGCTATAGCCTTTTGAAATTCAGTTCGAGTCGGTGGATCTACTTCATTGTTCCATTCACGCGGTCTACGAATGATTAGTTGTTATAGTGTAGCTGAAGGCCAGCTGAACTGCTCCTCACAGTGTTCCATCCATCGCTCGAAATGTCTGGGCTGAGAGCGAATAAGAGTGTCGTATTTTTCCCAGATTGTCTCACCTACATTTGACTTCTTCATCTCAGTTTATTTTGTTAGTCTGAGAAGCTGTCTTGTGTTACCTACAGCCACTGCCTTTTCCATCTCTTTCGCTTTCGTCGCCCACCACTGCTCACGGTCGTTCCTCAAACTTTTGGTTAGCCTAGATATGGTTTGTTTTTGCTCTTCATCCTGTTCACAGCCTGATGGGATGCGTTTACGAGAATCCATCAGTGCAAAAGATTTACTCGAAATCCATGGAGTTTTCATAACCCTTTGGTTTAAATAACTAATAGATATCGCTGTTATTTCCACAGTTGTTTGTATATCTTTCGAAGCAACGTCTGGGTCGGCCTCGTTTTCAGAACTACCTAAGTGTGACCTCAGTTGTTCCTGGAATCTACTTTGCTTTCTCATCACTAAGTACAATTCTAATGGATCTTCTTAGTATGGAGCATGCAAATGCGTGTTCGCATTTGAGCATGATCAGAGTCCAAAGATGTATTTCAAAACGAGTGACAATCTTCTATCGAGCCTCTCAAAAACGACTGATGGCAATATAATCTATTTGACTCCATCGTTGGTTTGGAGCAAGGTTTCACTACACCTGCGAAAGTGTTTCGCGCACTGGAATCGTTGGCTATGATGACACTTGAGAAGTCTACAGTTGAATGTAGAGGTAGAAAGAATAATTGGAATTGAAGAGGGAGATTGAGTGCTGTTAGAGGTATGAGGGCAATTATCACTTCCCGGATTCTCGCACTATGGAAGAGTCCTTGTAGGAAAATTGGGTTATAGGTGGTTTTAGTGACCTGAGAGTGTGAACTCAGAGCCCAAGGGACAACTGCTTAAGGTCGATCATACACGACCTTCTTGTGGGTAATTTTTGTGTTAGCTGCGTGCTTGTTGGGATCACACCGTCTAGAGAGAGAAATCCATGGGATAGGATGAGGTGTGCAGTTTTGGGGTCAACATTTTCTAACCCCGCCCTTCATTGTGGGAAGGCAGCACCACCGTTATGCTGGTTGTCTGAATGAAACACCTTACTGCCGTCACACCTCTGTACAGTTAGCACAGTTAGCTGCTTTTAGTCTTATCGCTCTTCAGCCAACCTCTCTGGCATGGGAAGCTCTTGAGCAACAATTGTTCCAACCAGTATAGCTCTAATGGTTCAACATGATAGGCAAGCCAGATCACCAAGTTAAGGTAGCAGCAAAGGACAGGATTTGGTGAGTGCTCTATGATAAATATAAATACGTTAAGAAGCTGGCACAAGTACAATACTACGAATGTTTTCAAACGATAGGTGACAGGTCTTTAACATAGAGTGTGCATTACACAGTTTAGTCAACGATGTTGCGGCTTGGAATTCGACAACACTTCAAATCCAGTATTAATTACGGTTATTAATTTATTCATCAATAAACAAGGAGTTTAGATGACTACTGAGAATCTCACCAAGATTAACAGTCACTGAATATTCGATAGTCTTCAAAACTAAACTTTTTTTAATCTGCTGTTTGATTGGAATACTTTTGTGAATTGCAGAGGCAGGTCAAAGATGCTTTGATATTCTGGACAAAGGCAATACAACCGAAGCAAAGCTCTACCCGACAAATATTAATAGAACGGTCAGTTTATTAACAGTCATACAAATTAGGTAATTTCCATGTTGTGATATTGTTAGGATTCACTTTGTTGCAGTTGACCTGTCGTCCTAAACATTTATTCTGATATGTGATGTGATGTTCGTTCAGGGAACAAACCACCTTTATTCTCTGTCTGTTCTCATACGGAAGTAAACTTGTAGTGTATCAGAATCACCACTTTATCATGCTAACGCCGACATCATTGAAAGTCATAAAACTCATCTGCATCTGTGACAAAAGCTATTTGGGATTTGTTAAACATATCTTGCAATTAGTTCGACTACATCAACGACATTTGGCAGTGTAGCGATGGTGGCAAAATTACAGCAAAAACGCACTCTACTCCTCTACAGATGTGCGTGTCTCAATCATTTTGATGTACCGTATATTTGCGAAGTAAAGTTGAACACTTTCCACGTTTTGTGACACCTTTTGAAAGATGTTAAGACATTAACTGGATGACTAGCAAACGTATAGTTTGTGAATGTCCACTAAAATCTGGTTATTATCACGCCTATTATACAAAGAAACTAGAACAACATATTTATACGTTTCACAAACACTAAGACATTAATGTTATTATTACTTTTGAATCTAGAGTGAACTGATAACAGTAATACAGCAATACATAGAGCATTATTGAACAGATTACCGTCATCATAGTAAGCAGACAAACGTAATGATATTTTGTCGACCAACAATCCATCTAGCATGATAATGTGTCCAAGAAAATTACCAGTCATCAGCTTGGTCAAACGGTTCACTGAGTGCCGTCGGTCAAAGTGTAGATGAAAGCTAGTCCTCATGCGACAAATTGCACTGTTGGAAAAGAATTCCATCCTTATAATTGTTTTATTCCTAATCAATGTGTTCTGAATTCTCTACATAGTTTCAGGGCCTTCACTAAACAGGTATTCATTCATACCGTATATCCAGTGGTCGACTGGTGTCGAAGAAGACACCCAACCAGTGAAAACCCAAACTAAGGAGGTGGTGTTTTGAGAACATCTCTGACAGAAATGAATTAAGTTTGAGAAGAGAACAGCCTTGATATGCACAACAAGTGGATATCAATGCAGATGGTAGAGGTAAACACTGACACAGCAAATCGTGGTCGACGGCCGTCTACTTTTTGAAAGTGTAATTATACAATGATGTGCACTCACAGTGATAAATAAACATTTCTTTTCCTGTTGTTTAATCTCCTCTCCAATACACTAGCAATTGCAATAAACGAGTTCGATCAACAAGGCTGCCACGTTATCATTACTGCGATGGTGGTTGTGATAATGTGACATTATGTAACGGTTTTGAAATCCCAGAGAAATATCTTCAGGTCAGTTGCCCATTTGAAATGATAGGATATTTGTCGCACCTTTAGCGTGGAGATTATATCTCGTCCATCATCAGAAGACATCCCATTTAGTGTAGGCCATAAACAGTTCATTCCTCAACAATCCTATGAAGTACATGATTTATGACTTCACACGAAATGTGAATTGCATATCGTTTATAATTTCTCGATTCGTTACCTCTGCAGTAATTTATGAGTTCACAACACTCTAATGTGTCATGGGAAAGTAAATCACGTCTAGATCTACATTATTTCCAAAATAATACAGTGTAGTTAGCGTAAACTCAAATGAGGTAAATCTACTTATTACTTACACAATACCCCAGTGAAATAGGGAAATCGTGCATTAAATACATTATTTGCACATCTTCCTTCAGTTTCCTTTTACATACTTTGTGTTTCTTTAAAGTCTGTCGCCGTTACATTGTTATTTGTTAGCCTTCCTGTTCTCTTCAATTCCATCTTATGCTGGCAGGTATTCCACTTCCGATTGCTGCTACATGCTACTTTTATCTGTCGGCATAGTTAGCATATACCACAACAGGATTGCTAAACGTTGCATATGAATTAACATGAAAGTTATTTCAGTTGGTGTCCAGTGGCAGAGAGTAAGATACGTTTCCGAGTGTCATAGATTTTATGTGATGAAATTCTTGCTGCCAAACACGTACGCTGGGAAATCTTGCTGCATCATACTGATAAATAACCGAACTGTCAAACTCGTCGGTTATCAATGTTATCTCTAGTCTGTTTCGGTGTGCTTAAATTGTCCATTGAATTTCATTTTTACCGGGGTGTGATCATGTCAGATACTGTATCATTTTCAACATCCCTCTGAATATTTTTTTCTTTGTAATCATGCAAAAGAGTTAACAATTGTTCTCAAAGTTAAAGAAACTCTGGGAGACACCCATAGAGTGTCTCGTGGTGGATTATCATTCTAAACACAAAGGTGATTTGTGCTCATTGTCAAACATGGTCGAAGTACAGAGATTTGTTATCTAATTTAGATTGCATCAATCGACACTGGCTGTGGAAGTGAAGCTTCAGCGGTCGTGTTGTTAATCGGTAATATTAACTCGGTTATTTGGATTTTTCATGTAATATGACGGTCACCCTTGAAAAAACAAAACACTGATTTCCGGCTTCGAAAAACTTTAAGTGTACATAATAATAATCATTGCATCAGTTGTGACAACAAAAGTAGCTTAAAACATTTCGAGTACAATTTTTATGTTTTGTCCTACGACAATTTTACACCAACCTTTCAAATGTTCCGACTCTATAGAAATGTCGTTCATCTGAAAATGATGTTGTGAAAGACGTCCAAGTCAAAAAGTCAGTCAAAAGTGACTTTATTCTTTTTATCCGTTCGGGTGGCGATTGTGGATCTGAAGAAACGTTAGCTGCAGCTAACTATTGTCAGCAGGATTTAGACACAGATAGGTAAGTAACAGATCGGTTGGTGTGTGAAACTTTTTGTTTGCGTTAGGTTAAAATCTAATACCGAGACTAACTTATCCAAATTTTAGTACCACAAATGTTCTTCAATTTCGTTTTTCATATCATTCAAGTAACACAACGTCTTAATTGTCTACTAACAATACGGACAAATCGCTGCCAAGCGTAACAAACAAGAGCAATGATTACTCCACTACCTCCCAAAAACCAATTTAATTCAGATAACATACGAGTGAACAAAATTAAACTACTTCGTGATCTCACAGATATCGTGTTAAACATTGAGATCAAAAATGTTACTTTTTCAAACTCAGCGTCATATACAGTACGCTAGACTGAAAATTGCATTCTCTATTAAGTCTTCATTTGACAATTTTAACTAGCAGATTTTCTGAACTGGCTACGATTATTCACACGATGATTTTACGTGGCCGTCGTCAGTGTTGATGAAAATTTAAATTGTTTGTCTCGATTTTGTGAAACAGGAAACACTTCTATACACGTGGTTAGCATGCCGGTGTTGTCCTGAGTTAGAATTTTTGAACATTTCACTGAAAACGTCGTACAGTGATGTGATGAGATTACTCGATCTGGTGGTGAGATGTTATCATTATTAGACATAAAAAATAAAATTGAAAAGAACATTTGTATGTTTCTGATTCACTATGTACAGTTTCATTAGTTATATTGAAAACAATTGAGGGATCTTTCAATCACACGACAAAAATCTACTTGTTTTCAAAACACTGTTTCCGTCAAAATTTATTTGAAGTCTACAAGTTGCTGCATCTTCTTTCTGACTTTTCGTCATAAACTACCAATGCTCTGTGATACAATAGCTTTCGTTGTTACCGCAGTTACCTTAAATGATGTCAACTTTTCGATTATTCTAAAGCTTGTCAGTTATTACGATTTATGCCACTCATTATTTACATTATTCCGTGCCTAATAATTGCGATTGTATCATTTTTGTTTGTAAACAAGACCAATCGCCGGTTCAATTGCACTATGCTCAGCCATGAAATTTCTTGGTCAAAATCCAGGCGAATTGAAACGAGTTATTATTCATGAACTAGGACATACATTCGTGAGTGAAACAGCTATTAATTACACAGTTCACTAACTCTTGTATTGTATTTTTGTAACGATGACCATCGAAGTCACTACACAATGTGCACAGTGAAACAGTATGATTAAATTATCATTATCACCTTACTCACAGTTTCGGATAATTTCTCAGGTTACATACTTTTGTTACGTTCCATTGTGTGCAACAGAATGTTTTGTTAAGAAAAGTATTGGGATGCTAACAGTCGTTAAACTTTCGTGAACTTATTTTAACAAATGATTGAATGCCTTTGAATTTATCGAAGAGATCAAGTGTATTGTTTTACTCCACTTTTGATGAGGGTGTTAAGAAAATAGCAGAAAATAGCAATAATAAATAAAATTATTTGACATGTCTCTTAATGCCACTGTGAAATTCGTTCAAATGATTGTAATGAATAATAAAATATTATTTTATTGAACAGGGCTTTAATTATTGGTTGTTTCCTTACCTACGTCATGATGATGGTAGTCCTAGAACAAGACGTAACCAACATACTGGTGAACCGGATTTGCCAGAAGAAGCCAACGAAGGATTAAAAGCTGATAGGTAAGAAACATTCAAAACACTACTCAACTCTGTCTTAGCATCTTGCGTTAACACAACACTGTCTTATTTAAAATACATAAAGCGATGGAGTTCCAAATTCTTTCTCGAATCCAACTAATAGAACACTTTCTACGTAATTATTGTAAATATTCCAGTTTCCTCAAATCATGCTGAGCTTTTTAATTTGAACAGTTCGTTTATAGGGTAGATAAGTAGTCCGTTACAAATTACTGGCATGGAGTAACTAATTCAATCAGTAATTGAATCATCAGTTTCTCCTTGGTAACGAATCAACTCCATTATGAATGACAATGAATGAATCATGGAGTGTAAATTTCCCATTCAATTCACAATATTGTTCTATGACTGATCTTAATAAAAGCCACATATTCATTGATGTGTAAGAATTTCAGTTCAGATATTCAGGTCAAGACAGACAGAGTCTGTACAAGCAATATAACTTCTTATTATCTCAATACTATTCACATATCAGATAAAATGACTGATTTTTCAAAGTACATTTCAAACGTTGCAGTATCAATTTACTTATTGGAACCTTGTTTTCAGAAATACTATAAAATACGTGTCCAGGAACTGGAGTACAGTCTCCAGTGAGCAGACGTACAATAGAGTCGGATTAACATTACCAAGTGTAGTAGTAAGTATATCGTTGACTTTACACATATTTCACTGATTCTGTGATGTTTTATTGTGGTTTACTCCCAGAGCTTGTTTTATTGGCATATGAAGAGAGAAAATGTTCGTTAAATTGATTAATTTGTTTTCTCTCGTCTTAATTAGGTGGATGTTATCAATGAATGTTTGGTTTATTATCATAAACAGTTCACATCTATGGTAAATTTTCGACTGGAAATCATGATAAATCAATTTACTTTTGAAAATATTATCATTATACTTTAACACTTATATTAGCAATAGTGTATACCAAAACAATGGAATTCACGGTCAATCTACAAATCATACAGTTCAGTGCCAAGTCAGTTCATTTTATACAGAGTTCGATCATTATGTCGATCAACATACTTCATTGTGCGTGTACAAACTGTTATGTCTTACAGCCAATTAATACGCGTAGACGCGGAAAGGACGAGGGAAACTGATACTCTGTGCTTGGTGGTTCTCCCAATACTAACTAGCACTGAACGAGGAGGAAGTATAAAAGACCAACGACCATCAGTCCATACTTTTAAAAAATTCTATCCATTCTTAGTAAATTATCACCAGTCATCCTTCGTTTGTCTATTTAAAGCTGTCTAAAAACTGTGTGTACTGGCCTTTTTACTGTATTTACATTGACACGCACATATATGGATTGAAGGATTACTTATGTGTCTCTACCGCCTCGTTCAATTCACGCATCAGTATGACTCTCACACAATATTGGTAAACAGTTGAACGTAACGGTCATTACTACAAATATATCTTAAAAGCCCTTCCATTACAACATAAAATTACATGTTTCTTCAAATAAAAACTGTCGAATTGCAGTAGTTTTGTTGACTACAACCAGCCTGATAAATGTAGCCTCTTGATGCATATTTGACATTCAGACAAGAATCTATGTAAGTTTATTTTTATCTTCTCTTCTTTCAAACAGAACTTTGCAAGAGAACATTTTCGATGCAATGAGCTTGATGCGGTCGATCTAGAATCGGTTGGTGGCGCTGGATCTGTACTTACACACTTCGAACGACGTCTGTCTATTGTAAGTTTACAGTAAATTTAACAAATATCAAGTCATAATTATTCTCTCGAATGATTATTTCAATGTCATTATTGTGCTTTAATTTTCAGGGTGAAGCTATGTCTCCTACCCGCGACATCATGGCGTCTGTTTCTGGTTTAACTCTCAGCTACTTCAAAGATACTGGGTAAATTTGAAAACAGTGTTTTATGGAATATGTGAACATGTTTATCGATGGTGACAGTTTCGTTATATTTTTTCACTATATAACTATAAGCTTAAGACGATGATAATTAAAATGTATTAGTTTCAAAGTTGTGTAAAACGTGAACTGTTACTGTTATACAATCTTCCTATTCGTGATCTCGTTCTGCTACTTGTGTGAGAACGCTGATAAATATCAGGAAGCTTTGTTAATTAAACTCTAATCGTAAGTGTATGGATGACTTCCCATAAATATATGTCTATTGCTCCCGGGACACTAAAACAGGTTTCCGATCAATAGTGTGTATCGGTCTTCTTCTAAAGTCGAACGTTGACCCATAGGTTGCACCTGTCAGAAAATCTAACTTTTCACTTGGCCGATGCCTGATCGACTGCGAGTATTCATTCATAACCATCTATATTTTCAGAGAGCCTTCTTATCCTATGAACTATTCCATTGCACGATTTGTGGAAATGAAATTATCAGAATAATTGCAACTAAAATTAAACATAACACTAATGTGCTGCTTAGCTTCGTGATGAAATTTTAATTAAATTCGCTACTTCGATTTTACACATCGCTCAAGTATTCATGTAGTCCTAGTAGACGGAGCAAAAGATTAGAGTAATAAATATAAATTATGAGTTACTTTTAAATAATTATGTCCGATAATTTCGTTGTTTGATTATATTTTCCTTGAAAAAGCTTCGACCAGATTGCCAGGCGAAACGTTGGATTTACTTCAAAGTCCTTCGCTGAGATTATATAAATACATTCTTCCTCTTTAATGTCTCACATTAACTCGGAGCCCAAATATTGTGAATCTATTCGTTCAAATTTAGACGAAACTTCTTATTTATTATGTCCGATTAGTTGATTTATCTGATTTAGTTTGATTGTTATACCAGTTTAATCCATTCACTGTATTATTTTAGCTTATAAATTGAATCAATTAAGATTATTGATTGTTAGGAGCTAATAAACGATTCCTATCAGTGAATTCTTTGAACGGTCAGTAGATTTTTATTATAAAATATTATAATAATAGTAATAATAATATTCATTAACTCTTCATCTTTCAGATGGTATAATGTAAATATTTCTATGGCCAAACCGTGGTATTGGGGTCGTGATCAAGGATGTGACTTTATTTTCAAAAGTTGTAGTCAATTCATTAAAAGGCAAGAATATAGACAAATATTGATATTCCACATTTTCCTTTTTCTAGTGTGAGGTGAATTTTGACTGACTAGGTTTGTTAAACAGATACTTAAATTTCTGTCGTCGTCACTAATCATCTATCGAGGTATATTACACACATAATTGCCTATGATCAATCTGAATCACAAGCATATACATAATTTTATTGTTTGTAATTCGCTTTGCTGATATTAAATAGACAGAAGTTTTATAACTATCTTTTATTCAAAACACGGTTGTAAACACTGATTTGATCTATTTCGTAAATAGTATAGTGTTTGGAAGATCAAGGTCGCTGATGCATCATTTTAATTAATCTATGATTGAAAAGAATATAAGTAATCTAGTTATTTTTTACATGAGTTGTTGTTAGGGCAGTAAAATCGATCTTTTTAAATCAGTATAAATTGCCATTCTATATAAGTGTGGATATAAAACTCTAGTTAATGAGCGAAATAAATCACAATAAAAAGTAGTCATTTCTTTGTCACTGAAGTCACAATTGCGAGTGAACAGATTAATTCATTAAATTCTTAAAAGTTTTCAACAAATGTAACTAGCAAACGGCTTCGGTGTCATGAAACCTGATGACTGATGCACATAATGATAATTAAACAGAAAATAACTAAAATCTGTCAGAAATCTTCGCTCTGCATAACGGCTTAATTACATTTTAGATATTTTAACAAATATAGATTTCCGATGATAATAAATTGTAAAACGACCGATCAGTTGTGTCGAACTTATTTCATAGACAACACAAGTCGCGGTAAACATATTTTCACCGAAATATCTGCTGTCATTAATTCATGTATCTATCAAATATTAGAATGAAAGTGTTCGATTGTGAGGATTGTTGAATTCAATGGAGATAATGAACCGATCAATGTTCAACCACCTTTAGAAATCCTGGAAATACTCTGCAGCCGTTTCGTCCTTCTATGAAAAGTCTCACCCGAGGGAATCCAGGATCCTTCATGCGGGACTCAAACATAGACAATCGTTTGCTCACGAACGCTTAAACTTCAAACCTTTGGACTGGCATCCAACAGTGTTTATGCCTAACTTCGAACAATCCCACGATATTGCGCTATTATCTTCAATTGTCTTCGATGAGTGACTGCCTCATACTGACACGGTTGAAAACCACTGGCTGCATGTTCTTAGTAAAATAAATTTCGGCCTGTTTTTATTCAACTTGCCAGATTGATTCATCATTAATGATTAAAATATATTGATACAATGTATATGATCAATTATAACGTGGTTCACTATCTGTTGAACTGATTGGTGAATTGCACTTTGACACCTTTCATTTAATTGCGCTGATTATCTGATTCGCTTTTGTTTACAGTCAACAGACGTCATCACCTTGGTGTAATAACATATATAATGAAAATTCTGGTGTTAAGTGCATTCCCCATGTAAATGCATACGGAAAATGCAATTTATTTGATCACGGTTATACTCTAAATCCAGAGCATGTACACTTCGATAGCCTGCCCAACGTATTGCCTGAGGAACAAAGTAGGTTTGGAGGATATGACACTTATGCTGATCACTGTCCATATATGTTTGTAAGTACAGTTTTATAAAGTTATACATTTTATTCAATAAACCAAGATTTGGATTCGAAATAAATCAGTTACAATGCAATGAAGCTTACGTTTCAGTTTGCATTCAAACGATCAACAAACGAAACGTAACATTCACTAATCAACGTTAAACAGAATCAATCAAATTTGTTTTGAGAAAATTAAATTCTAAAGTGAATAAATCGGCTTGAGTAATCGTTTCTCAACTCCTAAGCTAATAATTGCAAAAGATACGTGTTGTTACGTCTGTGGTAATCAACTTGAACGCAGTTCACTTCAGAATACAATACTCAGTTATAGATAAATTTATTGTTGTTTCTAGGTAAATTTAGTGATCAGAGACGACATCAACTCACATACGAACTTTGACATTATAGACTATTTGACTTTTAAATGATAATATGTATAAAATCATTCAAGACCAGGATTGTACACGAAAATATTTTTACATACCAGTCATTTTGTTTAATTTCTATCTACCGCATTATGTCACATATTCAAAGTTTTCTGATTTACTGATCCAAACATTTCGAATTTTATCTTCAGAAAGTGTTGATTTATGCTGTACGTAAACTGCTTTATGATAAAGATGATTTCAGGTGAAAACTAAAATCTGGAACTGAATTCTAAGTTTTTGAAAAGCTACGTGTCACTGGTGTTGCAATCAAATGTGTACGCTGACGTCTCATTGGTATACCATGCAAAACATCATCAATAAACATCCCTCACGAAATAGGACGACTCATGTAAATAGTTGAATTTGTTCTGATTTATTCCATCCAGCCATTTTCGGGGAAATATCTCTAAATGCCTGAACGACTCTGTAATCAAGTGATTTATGAATTTTTTCCAACAATTTGGATAGCGGTTTCGATTTCAAGCTGTTTTCTAATTACTGTCACCATCCAGAAAGATCAGTATTAGTTGATTGTCTGTGGTTTAAACAATATGTGTTTTTACTTCTCAACTAACCACAAAAATATCAATCGCTTCGCGATTTTGATATCAACGCTAGTAGTTGTGAATATGTATAAGTATTCAGTGGGCAGACAATTATTGTCAACTACTGAAAACTTACTATCTTAATACAAAGTGGGACTAAATAGTCGAACACATTTCTAATGTTTGAGTATACAGATTTAAATTGTGCACTACTATTGTTTAACCATCAAAGTTATATACAGTGATTAGAATAAACCTATTATACACCTGTCGAGATGCCTTATAATTGGCATATTCGGAGGAGATTATTTTGTGACTGTCATTCATAGGCCGTTGAATAGTTCAGGTAGGTTTGTCGTTCATTTAGGTTGCAAAAGTAATTTGTAGAATTAGGGTTTAATCCAAACCGAGATTTAATAAAGCTTGCGTATGATGACTTGGACATCAAGACACTTATGCAGAATAAACCAATGCATTTTTGAGTTGTATGGAACTCACTTCAAATAGAGTGCGTTCTTCACAGCCCAAATAACATGATTTTTTGATTAAAACTACGGTGTTCTAATTGATATTTTATGAACTCAGAGTTATGTGTCAAAAGTTTGAATAATAGTGATATATATTGCATGAAATTGAATCACCTGATTTATATGTAAAATTCTTGTCGGATGATCAGTAGATTGTACTTTGGCACATAATATATTAATCATAACTAATTGTTCTGTAAATATTTTCTTCAGATTTTAGACGATGTTCATATGGAATCACAGAATTCTCACTGTGAAGATACTAATAATCAGAACTACCAACGTAAGTTTCCGTTATTCGGACTACTTACAATGAATACACTCAATTATCATCACACTATTTATTACTGCGAAGCAGCGAAGTATGCTATTGAACGCTATAATTAGACAACAACATTTATCTAAAAGAAATATACAGCAAACTATCACGATAACTAATGTTATTGATCTACATACAATGATATAATAAAGACTGAACTATCATGAAAATATTCATTACGATTTCATTCATGGAACACTGAAAACTGGCTACCAATTAGTACACAGAATTTTAAACTAATTAACGTGTAACATTTCAGTATCGATAAGATCAAGTAGTGGTTGTCTAAGAGTTGTGAACTATGTTTAAACTTCTAATTCTTCTCGGTATCCACTGAGTTAGGGATTCGTTTCACTTTATTGAATGAATTTGTCTCTTTGTGTAATGACCTATGTACCAAAAGTAGATAGTGAACACTATTCTAAAACGTTTACTGTCAGCTTACATAAGAAGGAGATTGAACTTTTGTTTTTATCTTACACTGCAGACCAGAACAACTATAATCAATTTTATGGAAAAAAGTCACGATGTTTTAATTATGGAACAAAGTATGTGAGTGGAAATGGCAGTTGGGAATACTCGGGTTGTTTTCAAGTAAGCTTTATAGATAATCCATTATCAGAAATGATGTCAAATATTGATTTTGTACCAAACTTAGTAGATTGACTCTGTTTCAAGAACGTGAGTGCTCAATTTACAGTGATGTTTTTGACGAAAGCCTACAGTAGTAACTATTTATAGATAACAATTGCAAACCTATTTAATATTTTGCGTTACACTCAGAAACAAATGTGTCATATTGCACCTTCAACAAATGATATAATAACTTACTGGGGCTGTAAATGAGCTTTCTTCTTTCGTTTTTATTAATTCACACGTCCAACTAACATTCTTTTTCATTACATGTGGTTGTGTGAATCCACCTAATGTTCAGTTATCGCTTAGCAACATCAGATATTCGGCACTTATTGCCAGAAAATTTTTTAAACATACTAGACTAGAAACTATCATGAAAGCATTGTCAAAGGTCAGTTATTTTATTAATACAGTGGTTACTTTAAAATACTTCATCAGAGATATTCTCAAGTATTTTTAATATACTAACTATGTAGAACAATACGTAATCATTTCAAGCTTATGGTTTCCAAACAGCTATTTATCTTGAACCACCCACTCTGTTTTTGCGTTTTGAGATGCCTGATAGTAAATAATTGTTGGAAGCAATAGGTAAAGCAGTTTTATGCTAATCGTACGGGATTTTCTTGATATCTTGGTTAAGTGGAAAGTAACATTAATGTCGTCATTTTTGAATACAAAATAATATGAACGTATATATTATGCAGACTTTCCAAAATTATACAACCATGCCATTTTGTACAATCAAAGAAACTATTTATCCCCAGTAGTATTTGCTTCACCAACTGACATTAGTTTATATGACTAACTTATTCATCAGACTATGTTGATTTATTTTCGATTTCAAGGTGAAGTGTAGTCTTGAATTCAAATATCTAGTTAACTTTCGCGGTGAGTGGCGTGAATGTCCACAAGACGGTGGTATTATGAAAATAGCTGAAGATGACACTAGCCATGATTGGATCCAATGTCCAAATTTTCATGATGTATGCTCTGTGAGTTAAACATAGTCGATATTATGACTGTCATTTATCTATTTCCTTATTCAGTTTGTGTAGAACGTAGCAACAGAAAACATCAATCGAATTTAAAAATGTAGATAATTAAGTTGTGATTCGTCACTTTCTATGATAAACACTTTCAATGGTGTCATAGGTGCTCACTTGTGAGGCGTTCCGTATTACGACAAAACAGTTGTCCAGTGCTCTGTGCTTTTTAAGTGGTACTTTCAATGATGCTAATCCGTGGTGCATACAACTCACTAAATATTCACCATTTCGGATTAATTCGTATTCCATTTGCAAAAGGCTGAGTGCACAGGATAGATTATTCCTTATAGATAATATACGAGTGAAATAAATCATCCTTACTGTAATGTCAAATTCATTATGCAATTTTAATCACGGTTAAACTAAACAGTCAGTCAGTTAAATGTGACATAAAACTCGACATGTGTATACATTGGTTCAAGTTGCCATACCTCATTAGCACAATCAGATGGAAATGTTAGTGCGGATCACAGAGTAGTAGATGTTGTAACAGGATCAGTAGTAACAAACAACAATGGCCATTCAATAAACAGTTCAAGAAGAAAACACAAACTAATGAACTGATAAAAGAAATCCTTGAGGAAGTCAGAAACATATGATCTTAGGGAGGACAGGGAGTGAATTCAGATGCGTCATTTGTTATAACGTGTGGTCCGCCTATTGGAGAGCAGCCTATTATCGATCGAAACAGTGACGCATAAAATACGAGCGAGCAGCCTAGAGTCCTGATTGGCCCTGCTTCCCTGTCTAGCCCAGCCAATTGAGTCTAGAACACAAGTCTCAGCCTCGGAGATATGAATCATTATATTTCAAACATACTCTGTTTATATAGCAATCAAACAGACTACATCGTACCATAAAATAGAAAGTAACATTTGTACAAGATTTAACCTTCAGGAAATGACACAAATAAATATTGACCAATAGGGAAATGACACGTTGGAAGAAGGTTGACCAATGGGGAAATGACACTACTTCTCATTCAGGAATAACACTAGATAATTTCTGGGGTATTTTCTGAATACCCCAACATCATTGCGAGTGATTTTAGGACATCCCGTTCAAGATCTCTCAGCATTCGTTGCGATGATCACGTGGACCCCAACATGGTAAACTGTACCCGCTTACGTGGCTCAGTTCACCAGTTAGTGTCTTCATGGATTGATGACATGTTTTATTATGGCCACCTCTTACTTTCTTCTAATCTACTTCTATATCAGCCATCATCGTATATCGAGGTGGTCTGTGGATGGATATACATAAAACATGTCCAAATCACCTCAATTGATAGAGATTTACCATAGTTATCTAGTGCTCTGTGTTCAGTCTCAGTATTCTTAACTTCATAGTTTATAAACATACTAGCAATGTTTCAAAGACATCCATGATTGAATACGTGCAACCTACAAATATCCTCTATTTGTGTGGGCCATGTTTCACACTGAAAATGCCACAGGTATTCGGAGTTTGACAACGCTTTAACCAGTAACACCTTCTAATATGAATCGTACCCACCAAGTGAAATCAAAAGACAGAAGCGAAGAGGTTCGAAGATATATTTGATAGGCTATCAATATATCGAGGATCGTCTGATCTAATTTGGTTAGCTATTAAAGGGGTTGTCGAGCATGGTGTTCCCACTCATGATCTGGTGCGGATGCGTGACCGAGCGCTTTCAGCTAGATGAGTCCATTAAAACTAATGTGGTCAGCATCCAATGTCGAAGACTTATAGAGCTATTTAATTTGGGGATTTATTTACCGCTACAGATCACTCCTCCTCTTGTGGGGTAGTGATGACCCTAAGACGTGACCAGCCAGAAGTTTAAACCCAACGAGTTTTTCGTTTTTTAAACACTCTTCTGATAACTTGCTAGATTTAGCAGCGTCTGGTCGTCTTTCCTTACTATAAGGGACCATGAAGTACAATATAGTAAAAAAAGAAAAAATACGATGAAAATTTCCGTCTTTCGTAAACTTCATTGTTCTTTTTAATGTCTTTTCATCAGTCCTGGAAAAGAAAAGAAAATATGTAAGTGCATGTCGAAATACACATGTACGCGCGTAGATACAAGGTGGGCGAAAAAATGGAAAATAAACTCACGTACACGTAATAATAATATGGTTTTTTGTTTTGTTTTGTTTTGTTTTTTTAAATATAAATATATAAGCACATTGAAATTGGTTTTTTTATTACATATAGTACAAAGAGAAATCGAGATGATATGAAATGTCAACTTGTATCTTACGTGAATAATCGTTCAAATATTCTGGAAATCTTACTCTTCTTCCAGAACGCATTGTCTTAAGTTTATTTTCTGATACTGCCGAAGTATCATCGTGTGTGTTGGCTGTCGGTTGAGGTATTATAAGTGTGGGAGTTGTGTCGTGCGATCGTACCGAAGGAAAATCGACGTGAATAGGATTTCCTTCTAAATACGCAGCTTTGAGGCGATCGATGCTGATGCTATCGTCGGTCCCGTTCTTATCGACTATATAATACTTGGGTTCGCCTTGAAGTTCTTTGAAGGGTCCTTCGTTTGCTGATTCGAGTGAGTCTCGGCGAACGAAGACGTGTGTACTATATCGTAGGTCAGGTTGAACGAAAACATCAGTTGATTGCGGTCGAGTGGAAACGGGTTTAACTGAACGCATTGTGTTGGTAAGCCTGTTCGTGTAGGAGGTTAAATCCATGTTCATTGAAGAAGATGAAGGATCTACGAATTCTCCTGGAAGTCGAAGTGTCGTTCTTTAAACGCGTTGAGCTGCAATGTATCCAATGCCAGCTTCCACTGCATTGCCAATACCTAGTAAGACGAGTGGAAGAGCGTCAGTCCACTGAGAAATGTTTGCAGCTGATAGTGAAGTTTTTAGTTGTCGGTGAAAGCGTTCAACAAAGCCGTTTGCTTGTGAGTGGTAGGCGGTCGTTCGGAATCCAGTGATTCCAAATATTGCGGTCAGATAACGGAAAAGTCCAGATTCGAACTGGCGTCCACGATCTGTAGTGATGGTTGTTGGGCAACCGAAGTTTGCTACCCATCGTTCGACGAAGGTGAGGGCCACTGTTTTAGCAGTGATGTCCTTGATAGGTACTGCTTTTGGCCATCGAGTGAAACAGTCTACACAGGTCTAGAGATAAGAGTATCCGTTAGAATCTGGTAAAGGTCCTACCAAATCCAGATGAACATAATCGAAACGCGCATCAGGAGTTTTGAAAGAGCCTATAGGATATTTGTTGTGTCGAATAACCTTAGATTTCTGGCAGCTCACACAGGAGCATGCCCACTCCCTCACGTCTTAATTCATAACAGGCCAGCTAAACCGTTCTGTTATGAGCTTGATTGTTGCACGAACACCTGGATGAGAAATTTTCTGCAACGTATT